AAATCCCATTCATCTCTGCATCTTCACACCCATAGCCTTCAGGGCAGCCCAGTGGGACACCAATGCGATCCTGTTGGCTTGGAGCCGTCACAAGGGGAGATGGGTAAATCATCTGGCAACCTCAGGAAAATCTACTCTGTTCTTTCACACACTTGGTTGAACTTTTCAAAAATATTGACTAAACAGCTTGCCAGCAGTGATTACCAACAGCTCTATCTGACAGCTGCAGACAGAAAGCCAATGGGCATGCATGACGTCACCTGCCACTAACAAGACCTCCGTCCGCAGCCTTGGAGGTGATGAGCGCTCTCCTGGCCCCACAGAGTGATTAGTGTCCCGGGCATTGCTCACTCAAGCGAGTGTCACAGACGATTTGCGTGGCAAGCCCAGAAGCAAACATGAAGCCTGCCTGTACATCTCCATCACTCTGAGGGTTTTTATGTTCTGATCACCAAGAACACAAATAAGTTGTTCCAAAATACAAGCGATAGAAAATATCATGGAAAAGGTGAATTGCCAGACAGTGAGCCCTCGTGACCGAGAGCTTACTCATAAAATAATGACGGATTTATAGCACACCTTCACTACAGGCTTTCTGAGATTAATAGCTGATCTATCTGACTTCAGAGCCTGACAAGCGAAAGAGTTACTGGTCAGTTCTCACACTCACCCCTTACCTCCCAGCCCTCCCCCCAGCAAATACAGAAACAAGCTGATTTAGCTCCAGCAACCCCTGTGCAGTATTTTATCACAGGAGATTTCCATGTGCCGAGGGTAACTCTTCACCTTGCTGAATGCAGTCTGACTCCTTCAGCTTTGCAGTCTCGGGCAGGAGGCCAGATGGTGAATACCCAGGGTGGACAGAAACGCAGCCAGGAGGAAGCTGTGTTTCCTTGTGTGTCTCATGACCGCTTGTTTTCCATGATGTAGTAAAGAAGTCAGTTTTTGATGTCTTAGCCTAGGGGGCGTCTACAAAATTCAAAGCAGGTGTTAAGAAATACAGGCCTCAAATCTCGGGCGCATGTATACACTTCACACTTGGTGAAGCCTAGGTTTGTAAAAAATGGGAAGAGGAATTTGAGGTTGTGGCCTGAGGGCCTTCAGGATTCCTCAGAAAGAGCAAGGACTCCTGTGTAGCCAGTTAAACCCATCTGGTGGTTTCCCGCCACACCTCCAGGCTCGGTGCCCAGCTAAATCCCGTGTGTCTCTCTCGGCATCTGATTTTGTGTCATGAATCATTGAAGTTACGTTACTTAGCACACGCCCTTAGCACGTGCCCTACCATCATGTTTTCTGTCTCGTCTGGCTGCTCTGTGCATGCACAGGTGCCCGCAGGCCACCCATCCTCTGCACTCCAGCACCAGCACGCTGCCACATGGCAGATGGCCCCAGGCACAGGGAGTGGGGCAGCAGTTGCCAGGGAAGCTTCCTGCCTGTACCCAGGCCAGGATGGGATCTGAGAGCAGGGGCAGGAGCAGGGCAGGAGCCTGCTCAAGGGAGGTCCAGCAGGGTGAGGCTTGGGCCCAGGAAGTCACTGACACTGAAGGCAGGTGGAGTAGGCTGGGGTTTTTTGTTTGCTTTTTCTTCTACAAGAGGCTGTTTAAAAAGGAGAAATGATTTCCTAAAATTCTATGCTTTTTTGACAGAAAGTGTCCCAAAAAGATGGTTCCGGCCCAGTCTGCCTCACCTCTACCTGCAGATCGTTCCCTGTCTTCAGCCTTAGTAGAATGCAGAGCTGTAACTCATTGAACGAGACACTTCATGCAGACTGTGCACAGTGTAGCCTTTTGGCGGCCCGCCTAACCCACTGGTCACCTATTCCCAGAGTCCACTGAGTTGCATGGCTCCAGGCTAGTGCTGGGCAGCCCAAGCTAAGAGCAGTTGTTTTCATCACAGAGAAACAGTGCTTCTGGACTCTGGAGATTCTTTAAGCTCCTTCTCAGTGCCTCTAATTTATCTGTTCATCTGCAGATATCAAGTCCTTAATGGCTGGGGGCATCTATTTGTAATGTTTTTATTAAATATCCCCCCAGGTTAGATGCTGAATGATTTTACCATGTCCTTGGATCTGGGATCCTCACAGGGACTTGTGTAATTTTTGGGATGAAACTGGTGAGATTTGGTTCTCAAGCTGTCTGGTGATCCTTCTGAAAGGCTGTTCATTAGCTTAGCTGTATGAACGGTGATGGGTTTCTGAGGACTGGATTCTGCTTTGCATGGGCTTTTGGCCCAAATTTCCATGAAAGCAACCTTTCTTCTTTTAAACCTGAAATTTAGGGGATACCTTAGTCCTCATTGTGTTCTGAATTCCTTCGGTATTGAAAACACTGAGAAATGAAATTGCCAAATTCTTAACATTTGAAAATTGGCTCCTGCCCATGCCCCGTCTTCTCATTGCCAGCATGCCCCTCCCCATAGGAGGGACACACAGGACATTCGCAGGAGCCAGGAGGGGAGGCGCTCTCCTTGGACACCGCAGCCTCTTCAGAGTTAGGCCGCCAGGCGCCGTTCACATCATTAAATCAGTAACTGTGGAGCATTGTTTGGAGGCGACAGGGACTCCTCTGGGGAGTAGCCCAGTGGGCTTGCTCTCTCCCCTCGCCAGCTCCAGAGATACCTGCTGGCTCTGCCAGTGCCAGTTGGTGGAGACTTTGGCTCTGGCTGCTACTCTGTTTCAAGCAAATGTCTTCAAAGTCTCCAAGCTCCTGAGCTACGCATCAAGCTGTTGGAAGTAGGAATATCCCTGCGGCAGGGCATGGAGCCTGTGCAGGGCCACATCCCACAGTCCCACCTGGCTCCTCCTTGGCCTCCATGACTAGCACAGGACTGGGGTAAAGTGACCCCTCCTTCTGTTCTGGCTAGGGACTTCACACGTGCGTAAGCGTGGCCCTCACACGTGTGAAAGCATGGCCCAGGTGGGCCCTTCGGCCTGGACATGGCCAATACCAGGTGCAGATCACTCTGGCCAGCTGCCCTGGCTGAGGAGAGGGATTAGCCCAGAACCTCTGCCGGGGTGGAGAGCACTTGCTCTGAGAGAGAACCGCCCGGGTCTCCTGCTCCCCCGACGTCACACCACAGACATCTGCATCAACTCTCCTGGCCCTGTCTTCAGTGCTTTCTCATTTCTCAGTGGGCCAGGAGGTTACTAGTCCCCAGAATGTGTAAGTCACTGATTTTCCACATGTCCCTCAGCCAGGAGTGTGCCAGTCTGGCTACAGGGGTCAGCTGCTGGACTGAATACGGAGGTCCATACGCTGCTTGGTTCCTGAAGTCTGGTTGGGTTGTTTTCCCCAAGGACAGTGCAGGATGAGTGTCAGTAAGCTTCCTTCCTCTCCCGGCCCTCCCAGTGCAGACTACTTGGTAGTGTTCACTCTTTAGAGGCAAAATAAAAGGACTTTTTGCCCCTAGAAACCTCGTACCTTCAGAGTCATTGATTTGGTCTGAAGGTAACTAATCTTCAGCTGATCTTTCGGTATCAGATAAGGTTGAGTCAAAGTGATTTTTTTAAAAATTGAAAATATATTTATTGGAGCTTCCTAGCGCTCCAAGGACATGAGCCTGGATAATTTGAGGGTGAAAACTCCTAACCTCCTGTACCTACACTAAGTCTTATAAACTGGCTCACTGCCATTCTTTGAGGCTCTGGATCCCTCTCAGCAAGTTATCTTGAATATAGCTATTTCTAAACACGTCTTTATTGCTTATTTGCTCAAAATAAACAACAGAGGAATCGATCAACTTTATAACATAAAATCTTCATACCTGAAGAGCTTAGCTACTGATAGCCAGTTTAACCAGAAAACTGAAGGATCCAGGCTTCTGAAAAATACTTCCTTCCCTGAGCCAGGAGGTGGGCACAGCTCTGAGGTGGGGAACCTAGATGTTGCGTGAGCCCTGTGTGTGGGAGGCCCTGCACAACACCTGCCTGCGTGTAGCTGTGTGCTCAAGACAGCTGTCCCTCGTGGGCCCTCCTACCTCAGTCTCTCAGAGAGGGCAGCTACTACCCAAGGGGAAAGGTGGTTAATTATAAAATGTGACAGGAACCCTATTAGAAAGAACCCTTCTCAAAAGACTCACCAGACATTAAGAATCGTCTCCCCAGAGCTTAAATTTGCAAGAAAGAAATGCCACGTGGACACAAATTTGATCGAGGGGCCTCCCCGGCTCTGTACCACACCAAGGCTCGTGCCCAGGCTCCCACTGCCACTGGTGGTACAGCCGTCGTCATAGACCTGAACCAGGGACAGGTTTGCTTTCGTCCTGCAGATACTCCTGCACTGGGCCTTGGACACAGCTGATGCTGCAGGAGGGGAAAGCACTCAGCCCAGAGTCTGTTTATGTGTTTGAGCCAAGAAAGCGGTTTTCGTTGCAAGGAGCTCTAAGTGAGACAGACAGAGTCACAGAATAAGAGAGAGAGAGAGATAATTATCTAAATTATGTTCGTGCTATTATCGAAGACGAATATAGTTAAAATGTAATTAAATATGACGGCTCACAGGATGTAAGCCAAGCTTTGGAATGCTAATCATCAATTACAGCATCCCCTTAGGGGACTGGAGGAGCTCTGTGCAGAGGGTGGGAGCTGGGCTTTGGGGTGGGGTGAGTGAGGTGTCGAGATGAACACTGCCCCCACGATCATTCCAATACTCCAGGAACATCCCTGGGACACAGCTTTCTGTAGCTGTCATGAGGGGTAGAAGCTCTGGGCTCTGCTCAAATGAGGAACTGGCAGAAGGGTCCTGACCTTCTCTTTGAGAGAAAACGGCTCTGAAAGGGGAAATTATTCTCTGAATAGAGAAAGTAAAACCCAAGACCGGTTTATATTAGGGCAATGAATGCAAGTGCATTTGTCAGAGACAACTGAATTCCCCCTCTGCAGAAGGGATCAGGTGCCCACCTAGATCTAGGGTTCCCCAGAGGAGTGGCTGAGGTGGACATAATTAGCACACACAATGCCGCTTGTGCAGGCTCATGAACTGCTCCTTCCGCTCCCTCTCCAGCCTAGGCCCCACCTGCTGCACATTGGAACCTCTGGGGAGCTGACAGAGGACTGCATCGGCCCCCCTCAGTCTGCGGTTAGGTGGTTTGGGCAGGACAGAGAGCTGGAACCTGGAGAGGCTCTGCAGATGGCTGCTGATGTGAAGCCAGGGAAGAAGAATCATCTAGTAAAACCCAAGTCTGGGCAGAGCCAGAAGGAGGCATCGAGAGGCAGCAGGGACTGAAGCCTGTGGCATGGCGCGCTTCCACCAGCCCTGCAGTGCGTCTCTCCAGGCCACGGAGAGACAAGCATAAGGGTGTGTGTTCCCGATTTGTAATATATTAAACAAAAGTTCTTTTGCTAGATCTCCAAAGACTCTTTGTTGGTCATAGTTCTGCTCAAGAGTTCAAACTTAAAAGTGTTGTGTCTTAAGACGTGAAACACTGCCTCCTTGGATGGGGTAGGTGACGTGAGCGAGGGAAGCCACGTCCTACCAGAGGCCAGAGGCCTGGGCTCTGCCGTGCCTCCCAGCCCCAGCTGCCTTGCTTGCCGGATCTTCTGGTTTTCCAGAGAAACCAGAAAGCAGTATTTCCCTGGGAAATGTCTCACTTCAGACTGGAAACTGACTCAGCTTTTCAGAAATTCTCTGTGCGCTCCCATGAGCAACTTCTGATCTCAGTGAGCTGCTCCCGAGGGCTCCTGAAACAGTTTCCCCTGCCTCTGGTCAGTAGTCAGCCAACCTTGCCCAGCAGTCCTCAGCCCGGCATGAAGAGGGCTCTCAGTAAGTATTGTTTGAGTGGACTGACAGACTGAACGGAGGGAGGTCAGATTTCCCAGTCAGTCTGGGCAGTGAGAGCTGTGAAATCCACTTACGTATCACACAAAACAGAGAGCTCACACCCAGGCCCCGGAACTGACACAGGCCTTACAGTGAGGGTTTTGTAGGATGGGCACCAGAGATCTGGGCCACTCGGGTCTTTGCAAGGAGAGACAGAGAACGCAGGCTGACTGGAAAACACACTAGACACAGTCTTAGTGTCTTGGATCTTAGATCTCCCTCATTGCTGGAATGTAATGCCTGACACTCACAACTTAAGGGGAGGTTTATTTTAGCTTATGTTTCAGTCAATAGATGGGAGGGGGCTCCAAGGCTGAAAGGCCTGGAGGAGGAGAGCTGCTCCTGGCGTGGTGGACAGGAGGCACGGGGGGGCGGGGGGAGGCTGGAGGAGGCACCCTCCAGGCTTCCAGGCTGTGCCCTCAGTAACCCGCCTCTTCCAGCCAGACCTCACCTCCCGGTGCCGGGGGCTCTAAGCCCCCATAATCCAGTCCCCTCCCCACAGCCACACCTAGGAGCACGTGAGGCTTTGGGGGGCATCCAGATCAAACCTTGACAGGTGCCTTCTCTGCCTCTGCCTCTGCCTGTGGGGAGCCCGGCCCAGGGACTAGAAAGAACAGTGCCACCTCACCTGGTGCAGTGGACGTCCCCAGCCCACAGATCACCTTTGGATGTGATTAAGGAGGTGGGTGCAGGCCCCGGCCCATCATAGCAAGCCAAACAGTAAGAATGGGGCCGGCCTCGCTGCTGCAGGGTCAGTCCCAGGGGCGCCCAGAGAACTGCCAGCCACCACCCTGCCGCAGGCTCTGCCTGCTCAGGGCCTCCAGCACCTGCCATGTCTCAGTGCCACTCCACTGCCGGCAGCCCAGCTGACAGGGGACAGCCTTAGCAGCCCCTCCCTATCAGGAGTCTGTTTCCAGAGATTCCTGTTTGCCTTCCAGCCCTGTTCCCAAAGGGTGTAAATAAATCCATTCCCACACACCTTCCCAGCCCTCCTCACCAGAGGCTTCACTCTTTCTTGCCATGCTTGCTTTTTTTTAAACTTTAACATTTTTAAAGTTTATATGGAATTTATACACGTGTGTAGTTTAATAGCCCAAGAGAAGCATGGGCTTGTGAGGAAAGCGGCGGTGCCACCTGCACCTCTCCACGCCCCACAGAGCTGCCTGCCTTTTAGTGCTTAGAAAAACCCAGCGTTGTGAAGAGACGACAGTATATTCAGGAGAATGCATTCAGTGTGGCTTCAAGAAGATTATATACAGTGTACAGACAGTGAACTGTCTCCTCATCCGTCTTCTTCCAGAGGGAGTTTAAAATGACGCAGTCTCCCTGGGTGTTTTGAATAAAAGTGTCCCCTCGCCTTGGAGATTTCTTGAGCTTCCCTGCATCTCCCCTTCAGCTATGTCGTCTTTTGTGGTGGTGACAGTGAGGCTCTGCCACCATTTGCGTACTGGTCCCCAGGTCTCTGTTCTGCTGCTCTGACTCCTGCACCCTCTTCGCAGGGACTGGGAGCGGGTGCCTGGGGAGGCCGGGTGAGGTGCTGGCCCTTGGGGACCTGAGTGCCTCCCCTCCCACTGGTGGGGAGCGTGTGGCCTGGCTGTACTTGTGCCCGCCCACCTGTCCAGGTTGCCCACGATCGGACTTTGAACAGGACAGGCGAACGTGTCCATCTCCTGCAGGACCTACCTTTTGGCCTGTGCTTCCTCCCTGCTAAACTGTGTGCTGATTCTGACATTTCCTGATGGCTTCGCCAAGGCCGTCTGTTCTCTTCCTACTTGGGAAGCAAAGGACTGGCGTGGTTGGCTTCCGTAGGGTGTTTGGCTCTCCCACACCCCATGAACTGGTTTTCCTGGTACCAAGTCAGCCCTGGCCTTGCCAGGGCGAACCTGGTCTGATGCTTGGCGAATCACCTTCTGCTCACGCCCTGAGCCAGCCTCTGGCTTGTCCCCCACCAGTCAGCGCAGCGGGCCCACTGCGCCCAGCCTGCTCTCCCAGAAGCTCCCTCCGCCTCTGGGTGGGTGGGTCTGTCTGTCTGTCTGTCTGTCCTTGGTATTAGGTGAGTTCTTAGCTTGATAGAGCTCATTTTCCTGGTAGTTTCTATGAGTCTAGCGGAGACGGGTCCGCAGGGGTTTGGGCCAGAATGACACTGCTTCACGGCACGCACAGTCGGCTGGTGGTTTGGCCGGAACTAACGGCTCCCTCAGCCCCAGAGGGCAGCGGTGCTGCCCTGGCGAGGTCTCACGTGAGCCCGACTCCCGGGTTTCCCCGTGCACATGACGTGGAGCTTTATGACCGGTCTGTATCTGGGGAACTTGCCTGTGTCTGCCCCAGTTTCCCAGCTGTGTGTTCTCTGCCGAGTCTTCCTGGGACATCTGCTCGTTAGGTCGTGGATCTCTTAGTTTGTTCCTCTCATCCTGCTTTCAGTTTTCTGTCATTTTGTTTGACATCCTGGGAAATTTCTCCCACTTAAGCTTTCTAACCCTTTTGTTGAATTATTTATATCAGTTAGTAGTTTAATTTACACGTGTATCTTCTTGTTTTCTAATGTTCTTTTTTCATATCATTTTATTCTTACTTTAAAGGTTTAATGAAAGGTTTTACCTTTCTCAGATAGCATGGGTTTTCTTCCTGAAGTTTGATTCTGCTTTTTGAATTGTGTCCCTGTCCGTGGCGACTGTTCCTTTCTGTTTTCCTTGTCTTTATCTTCTGTTACGGAGTCTTCCCCTGATGACCCTTGACAGGCTGTTCTGCTTTACCCCTCAGACACTGGGCAAGCTGGAAGCTTTCTGTGGGCTCCCTGGAGGGCTGGCAGGCGGGGACAGTGTGTGACCTGGGGAGAGCCTGCCATTCAGATCGTCCCTTGGAATGGTCTTCAGCTCTGTGTAGCCCTGGCCTCTGCTCCTATAAGGTCTTAGCTCAGCAGCTGCCTCGCCAGAGGCCTTGGTAAATGTGTGTCTGACGCAGTGTCGCCTCTGTCACCTCGCATGGCCCAGCTGTTCCCATCATGCCCCTGAAGCCTAGGCCCTCGCCCGCCAGAAGGTCAGCTCCTCTAGGACAGGGGCTCTGTCCTCTGCCCTGTCTCCAGGGCCTGCTCACATAACCATTCGGTAAATAGTTTTGAAAGGAAGGGTGGACAGTGGATGGACAGACAGAAGGTGGGCCAGTAGCTCCAGGTCTTTCTCTAGTCTCCTGCCTGGGGGCTGAGCCTGGAGCACGGTGGTCTGAAAGCCGTGGGAGGAAAGGGGTCTGGGAGTCTCACCTTCAGGGGTCTCCACTGCTCTGCTGTGCTCTGTGCCCACTGTCCAGACCCCTCTGCCAGGGCCTCCACAATGAAGTGTTTCCTGCCAAGGTGGGAAAGGGCTGGTCCCTGGTGCACAGGAGGGAGGGAATTCGCAGGGGCACCGTGTCCTGCTGGGTCACCCTGCGGGGCGGCCGACCCCAGCACTGGGCCTTTCTAGGCTTGGCAGTGTGAGTCCACTTGGTCCCTGTGTGGTTTCTTCCTGTGTGGCGGATGCCGAGACATGATCACATTTCCTCACCATTCCTCTAGTGTTTGGGGAGGGAGCTGGGGGGGGAAGTAACACACATTTCATGTGAACATGCATTAAAGTTCTTTACTGCCTGTTTAGGAGAGGGAGACAAGATTAAGCCATGGATTCTTTTTCCCATATTTAAGGGCAGCCCGGGCCCGGGTAGATGCTTCCGGTCTTCACCTACCCCAGGTTCCACAGGTCTGCTGCAGAAAGTTCTAGCATTTGCTTTCTCTCCTGGCACACAGTGGATTCCCATAATCCTTCAGCCTGGCAGGGAGGTGCAGGAGAAGAGGGAGAAGGCCTCGGATGCAGACCTGCTCTCCACCGCGCTTTGCCGTCTCCTGTCTCCCCACCCTGGGCCTGCACGGTGTCTCTGTCTTCAAGGCCACTCACGCAGGCGGCAAGTGGGTCCTCCCTGCCCGGTGGCTCTCTTGTCTCTGCTTCCTGCAGACCGAGGCGCAGCTGTGTGCAGCCAGGAGTGCTGCCTGGGACGACTCCGCTCTGCCCGCATTTTATCTTTGCAGTTTAGTTAATTCCACCTCGGGCAAGTTCTTCCTCACATAAACACAGACCCTGCTTTGATTGCTTTCTTCTCTTTTCTTTCTTACTTATCTCAGGAGCTGTTTAAAATATATAAAGAATAAAAGTAATAAAACTTTCACTCACATTCTATTTCCCCAGAATTGACCATAGTTAATATTTTTCACATATACTTCAAGTCTTTTTTATTCTAATCAAAGGAATGAAATATTCCAGTTAATGTCGAAGTCTCCTTTGTTCCCGTCAGCAATCTCTTTCCTCGCCCTCTCCTTGGAGACAGCCACTGTCAAGAATTTAGCTCATACATGTCCAGAATATTTAAAAATACTTTCCAGGGGTGTATGTTTAGAGACAGTGCACTCGGTCTCCCGTGTGCTGCCCCACATCTCGGGCTGCTGCCCAGCGCAGGCTCACTCCAGGGTGGGTGTCCCTGCCACCTCGTCTCTCTGGTCGCTGTGGGCGGGGCCGTAGGACACACTCGTGGCTCTAGGATATAGCTCCAGTGTAGAGCCCTCCCCCAGCTCCCCCAGCTCTTGTGAGGCCCTGGGTCCAGTGCACAGCACTGAGGAAGGAGGGAGGGAGGGAAGGGTGGACGGACGGACCGATGGACAAATAAGCGACTGAGTGACAGCCCCGTCGCTAGGGCCCAGGGAAGTAAAACTCAGGGGGGTGGCTGTTCTGTGCCCACCTGGGGGTTCTGGTGGGAAGAGCACGGCCTACATGTTCACCCTGGCAACCTTCAGGACTGCAATGGGCAGCCCCGTGATGCTGTGGATCACGGCGGCCGCTGCCTGTGTCCTCGCCTGTGACGTGGGATCGGCCAGCTGTGTGTCCACCTAGCGGCTCACATCGGGAACCACGTGAGCTGTGTCCCAATTGGGAGCAACTGCGTCCCTCTGCTGCGGACAGACCCACGGCCTTCTGTGTGTGGCAGCGTTTCATTCTCGTTTCTCAAGTGGCGGCTTCACAGATTGTTCTAAATTCCTTGTTTTTCTGGCTTGTTTACTGCTATGGCAACATCATTATATTTCCCCTTTTTTAAGCTTCATAGCTATACTTCAACCTCATTAGGAATTAAATTGAATTTCGTGGGTGACCAGGGAATCCTATCAAAATGTGTAGCTTTAGTTTTTTGGAAAAAATCACTTCTACCCAGTGGAGACCGCTGCGCTGTATAGGTCACGTGGTCCGCTGGTGATGCAGCAGGGCGGTCTGTGCAATCAGAGACTTCTCTAGGTCAGCACTGTGTCCTGCATGGGTCCCCATCATGACCAGCAGGTACCAAACTCAAGGACGTATCCAGCAGGCGTGTGCTTAATCCCCAGCGCCCAACTGCCTGTTCACCTCCAAGCGGTGGGTGCGGGTGGGAGTCGCCATAGGTAGCCTTGGCAGTCAGCATGTCACACCCCGTCAAGCCCGACGACTCAGAGTTTTGTCTGGTTTATACTTTTTCTAGCACGTAGTATATGGTGGCACTGTTTTACATTTGCCAGGATGCTCAAACATTACAAAAACATCTTAGGTGTTTTTTTTGTCATACCCATTTTATAGATGAGGAGACTAAGGCTCAGAGAGTTGGGTAACTTGCCTGGCTCACAGAACTGTTAAAGATTCAAAACCAAGATTCCAACCCAGACAGCCTGGCTCCAGGCCCCAGGCCCCAAGCCATTGTGCTGTCTCCTTCTGTCCCTGGGACAGCAGGCTTAACCCACACTGTCCCCACTGTGTGCCCATCATCCTTTCCATGGGAAGTGTACGGTGCAGTGCTCTCACCGGCTTTGCGTCTCCTGACCTATATTCTCACCTTGGGCCTAAGGCAGGATGGATGGATATTCTTAATGTGTGTGCATCCATTCTGCCCAATTCAAACAGGAATAAATGATTCCTGAAATTCTCTGATCCAAAGCTCCAATCAAGAGCGTCGCCCGGCAGTCACCCCTGCCCCACTTTGACCACATAATGGCGGGGTGTGGCTGAGACCTGCTCCTCCTAAAGTGTCAGCAGAGGAGGAAAGGACAGCGCAGAGCCAGCCCAGGTCTGGTTTGCCCACTGTGGAGCCATCGTGCGGGCTGGCCCTTCAGTCTACCGTAGGGATCTGGTTTATAGGAAGCTCTCAAAGAGAGGAGGACGTCACTTTTCACTTGTATTCAGAGCGGTTTCCTTCCGGCACAGCCCCACCCATCCCCACAGCGCCACTGTCTTTCCTAGAAGTTGTACTCCTGGGCCAGAGGGCGGGTGCTGGGCACTGAGTGCTCATGGCCCTGGGCTTTCCCGCAGACAGTGACTGACAGGATCTCCGTGGAGACCTTGAGCTTGGAGGTCACAGAAGGATGGGAGCTTGGCTGGGTCCTAGAGTTCTCCCACAATGAGCAGCACTAACAGCTACGTGGCCAAGCACCATGGTGCACACCTGTAGTCCCAGCGCTCAGGAGGCTAAGGCAGCAGGATTCTTGAACCTGGCTGTTTGAGGCCAGCTTGGGCAATGTAGGGAGACCCCGTCTCCATGACAGGGAGGAAGAGGAGATGGGAAAGGGCAGGAAGTTCATGCTAAAGAGGTGCAGGGGAAGTAGAATCTGGGAGCTCACCCTCACAGCTTCTGCTCCTGCTGACATTTTGGTTTTAGGGTAAGCATCTAGTTCTGCTGAAAATGAGGTCGTATATTCAACTCTCTGGCCGTGTTAGTGCAAACGAACTCTAATGTGATTAGATATTAATGTGATATAATGGAGGGTTGGTATTAAATTGAGACCTTCTGATCTCATTACTCTGCAGATGCTTTCTCGCACTCAGCCCGCCGTCCTGCCCAGAGCCCTGCGGCCAAGGAGAACCCTTGCACAGGGGAGTGTGGAGGGACAGGAGGGAGTGGGTGGCCGTGGGGCCGGGTCAGGCCTGCCTCCCTCCTGCTGGCCTGGCGCTTCCTGCCAAGGAGTCTGACCTGTGTCCATCTCCAGGGACTGACAGGTGCAGGCTCCTGCCTCCCTGTGCCCAGCCTTTCTGTGCACTGTGACTTGCTTGAGACTGATCCTTTCCTTTTCTGGAGGTCTGGGCTGAACACAGGCAGTGGACAGGGTGGTCAGGGTGTGCTGTGGCTTGGGAGGGAGCGCGGGGGTGAGGACGGGAACCTCTCCCGGAAGTGGCACGAGCAGGAGGGCGCACGGGGCAGTTACAGGGCCTCACCTTCGGGTATGAAGAATGGCGTTTTCATAAGGAGCGATTTTCTGATCTGCTTTCAGAAAGCTGCTTTCTGAGGCACAGCCTTTGCACACAGGCTGGTAACGACTTTTTAATGACCTTAAGAGGCCTGGTGTCCGGGCAGCAGTGAATCAATCTCAGTGGGAGGTTCATAGGGAGAGAGAAGATGGAACACCTGAAATCAGAGGGGGAAAACAAACTGCAAATACATATATTTTCTTTGCTAGCATTACTTGGTAATTAGACAATTACAGGAAACAGCTTCGCAGCAGCTGGCATTTCCACTGTGTGAGCGGAGGAGGGCTGGCAGCAACTGTGAACCCCACACATTTATTATAGAAAATATTGTTGGCGTTTGCAGCCGTGGGTGCACGCGCTCCTGGGGCATCCTGGTGAGCTGCTGGCCTCAGCCAGATGCCGCCATCCCTGCGGGGTGACCCAGGCCTGCCCGGCTCCTCAGTTCTGAGGACAGGGCTGTAGGGCCGGGTCAGGCTGCCCCTGCCACAGGACTCCCATGGAGGTGGTCCCTCACCCTCAGCGCTGTGGATGTGCCCTGCACCCGAAGCTGGGGATTCGGTGGCCTCACGAGGACCGAGTCTCGTCCTTGGCAGGGGGGCAGCGCCTTCCCCGGGAGACACAGGCACTGCTCCTCGCTGTCCGCAGGGCAGCTGCAGTGTCTTACCAGTGTCCCCTCTCACAGGTCCTGGCAGTCAGTGACGTTCGAAAGACAGCCTGCCTCCTTCATCCGCATCGTGGGGACGCACAACACGGCCAATGAGGTAAGGGCGCTGCCAGCCGACGCGCTGCCATCCTGGGGCATGGTGGCTCATTACTGCCTGGGTGTCCCAGCACCCTGCCTCGCCTCCCCGGGCCTCCCGCCTGGGCCCTCAGGCCTCCCTGACAGTGGTTTGGGGAAGGCCAGAAACGGGGTGTTGAGGACGGCCATGTGTTTGGCCACTTTCGGCACCATTTCCCGGGTGGGCTGAACCTCTTTAAGGCCTGTGAGTGACGAGGGGCAGGGACAGTGAGGTGGGAGCTCATTGGGAACCACAGTGTGAACACCCCGTGGGCAGCGCCTCAGGGCCTGGAGTGCACTGCGTGGCTGAGAGGGGTCAGGGCAGGGCAGGGGCGGACAGGAGCAGGGCGGCGGGATAGCAGGCGGGAGCTTGCAGAGCTCTCCACAGCACGAGCACGGTGGGCTTCATGAAGCCTTCTAAAAGGTGAAAATAGCGTGACAGTTTAGATCGCTTCCCCTTGGTATTGTTCAGGGTAAAAATTGATTCCCACCCTCAGGTTTTCCCCCATCAGTGCGCAGACACCCCAGAACCTTCCCTCCCACCTGTTCCTCTCTCGAGTAACCTGACCAAGAGGAAAGTAAACTGATGTTTTAAAAGCAAATTCAAGAATTCTAAACATGAGGTTATAAAACCACATCTCATTTTTGTGTGTATAACAGAAGTAAATTTGAATCAGCATTTTAATATATATTTGATTTCAACCCATAATTTTAAAATTTTGCCAATGAATTCCAATTTTTATTACCACTTATGCGATGTTATTAATGGTGCTAATTTTAAAAGAAAGTTTAAAAAGTAATAAACTCTTGTGACCACATCCAAACTGAATCAGCCCCCAAGAGCCCACTCCCTGAGCGCTCCGTGGGGCACACGCAGTCTTCGCATGGCCTGCGTCCTAGCTGGAGCTCCGGCTCATTTCCTGTTAGCCACTGACTGAACGCAACACCCCTGTGCTAACTCCAGAGTGTGGGTGGGCCCGGGCTTCAGCCCAGGGAGGTGGGATCACAGGCACCCACGGAGGGGGCAAGAGAAACAGAGGTGCTGCGGGGATGGCCTGCCTCTGCAGGCGCGACAGCAGCTGAGGGCTGGGCTGGGCTGGCGGGCCACGGCCAGGCCCAGGGCTCCTGGGTGCAGGGGAGGTGGTGTGCAGCCCTGTCAGCAAAACCAGGCAGCGGCTGGACAGTGTCGGTGGCCAGAGCCACCTGCTGCTTGGAGGTTCCCACATAGCTGCACACAGCCTGCGCCCAGTGAGCTGATGGATCCGGGCCCTGGCCCTCGGGTCCGTGCCCACTCCAGACGTCCAGCTGTTGCTGGGGGCAGGGGCCGCTCAGGCCACGCCGGATGGGGATGCTGCCCTCTGTGGGCTGTGTCTGTCCTGGGCCTTCCTGGGTCACCTGCTGTGTGGTTGCAATGCCTTCTTCCCTCCTGGTGGCTCATGCAGATTTATATTTTTATATTTTATTTTTTGGTGTTGGGAATTGAACTCGGGGCCTCACCCTTGCCAGGTGGGCACCGTGCTGCCGAGCTACACCCCAGCCCTCACGCAGATTCTTGGTGGCTGCTTGGCCACGCTCCTGGCTCCTGTAGCCCCATCCCTCTGCTCGTCTCTCGTCCTCTGTGAGCGCCACGGCAGGGCCCTCCCTCGCTGGATTTCTTAGCTCTGCTTCCGGCTCCGTCAGTAAGTTCCCCGCTTCTCCTGTGACCTCAGCATCTCCTCACCGGAATCTCCTGGCTTAGAACACGCCCCTTCCTCCCCCTCGGCATCGCTTCCTTGTCCCCATGCTGTCCTCTCCGGAGCTCCGTGACCGTTTTTACATCCTCTGCCCGCCGCCCTCCCTGCCTTGTTCTCGTTCATCTGATCTGCCCCGCACCTGTGGCTACAAGGGCTGCTCTTGGCTCTGTCCTGGACCTCTGGTGGGCTCACAGCCCTGCTTGGCAGGGCCTCGCACACTCGGCTGCACTGTTGGCTGGGGGTGAGGGCTGGACATTGCTTCCCTGTCTGAACAAGGCTAGGACCTGCATGTACTGCAGACGTCAGCGCAGACCCCTGACCACTCCACAGAGCCCTGCTGGTTCCCACAGGGGCTTGGTCTCACTCCAGCATTATCTTAGCAAGATAGTGACAGAGGTACACACCCGTATCCTTGGAGAAGCTCATCAGAGTTTGAATGAGATCAAGTCTGCACACCTCTGAAAATGAGTGCATGGTATTAAAAGGAATCGAACGAGCTGGGATGTGTCTCAGTGGCACAGTACCTGCCTGTCAAGCACAAGGTCCTGAGTTCAAGTCCTGGTACCAGAAATAAAAAGAGGAGGATACCTCCTGCAGTGGGCCATGGTGCATGCCGATGCCTTTATGACAACCTAGATTCGAGAGCAACTTCTAGAGTAGTTTTTCTGTAGGCAGGGAGCTCAGGATCCAGCAAACTCTGAGGATAAGCAGGATCATGGAAGAGCAAACTGCACATACGAATGTCAGCACATGGTAAAGGACGTGGCTGGGGTTACGTTCGTGGAAACCTCAAGAACAAGCGAACCCCATGTGGTGTTTATGCCTACACAGGCGCTGAAACTACTAAGGAAGAGCGTAGGCAATGATGATTGTTCTGGTGGAACTGTGGTTTCTCCGCATGCATTCTACTGGGCCTTGCGGTGGCCCCTGCCTCTGGACCGACTGCTGTCTCTGTGCTGTTCCCTGTGTAATTCCACAGCCAACCTTGCACGGGTTTCATGCACCTTTCAGTGCATAGTTTTCATAATACAAACTTTGGTTTTAAGCGAAAAGGAAGTATCAAGAAACCAAAGCCAAGAAATACAAACTGATTTGTACATTGTAACCCTCCACTGAGTGGCAGAGCTGGGATTTGAACTCAGGTCAGCTGGCTCATCACAACCAGGCTGCTGTCTCTCCCAGAAAGGCCTGGTAAATCTTAAGGTGCAGAAATGAGCCTTGCTGTGCTCTGGCCCATAGCTCTGATGACCGAGTCAGACACTGGCAGGCGGGCGGTTCCGGGGGGCTCAGTGCGCTGCCCATGATAGATCTAGGGGAGGAGCTGAGGGAGAGGGTCTCTTTAAAGGGAGCACAGCAGTCTTGCTGCCTGACAGACATTGACCCCCAAGAGGAGCACTTTAGCTCGGGGTGACATTTCAAACGCTGGTGCCACAGGTGGTAGGGAGGAGTGTGGTTCATGCTGGCAGCAGCTGATGTGGACAGGTGCGGGGGGGAAGGGGGAGGGTTTCCTTGTCTCTGAAGTGGATCCAGTGACCCCGGCCCTGGGGGTTGGTAGACATGAGTCACATCACCTGGAGGCCAGAGCTGCAGACGATGCTGCACACCCGTGCCTTCCGTGCTGGGAATAGCAATGGGCCTGAAGCTTGTCACGGGGGCCTCTGTGCAAGCCGGCACCATCAGGACCAAAAGTCTGCAAGTGGCTACTTGAGCTGCCCTCCAGGACCGCTCAGCACAGAGCCTGGAGTGAGGCAGAATTTATTTACAGGCTTCTTGCCAGCCAGTGAGCAGCTCTGCGCCTCCAGTGCCATCCTTGTTCCCATAGCAACATGTGGCTCTAGTGAGGGGAAAAACACTGAGAAAGACCCACTCTGAAAATGCTCAGTAAATACTCCTTTCCGGCCTGGGAATAATTATCTCCCAGACCTCCTCTTACGTGTCCTGACCCCCCGCCCCGCCTCTCTAGGGACCTCCCTGGGCTTCCTCCAGGGTCATCATCTGGACCCAGCAGGAGCCACAAAGCAGTACACACTGGCTCCCAAGGCACATCCCCAGCCGGGCAGCAGCGGGGACACAGCAGACACAGAGCAGCTGAGCCACAGAGACTGGGAGCAAACAGGGCAGCAGGCAGCGCCCTGCAGATCCCTGGTCTGTGGGGGGAGACAGAGTCAAGTCCTAGTGGGAAGGGTGGTGCACAATGACAGCTGCTGCAGACAGAAGTGGCCCAACTGCCAGGCTCCGTTGGCACTGTGGATACCCTTGGTGGGACATGCCAAGGCAAGTACTCTGCACCAGTCACCAGGGACCTGGGCACAAGGATAGGGGCCCCAGAAGACAACTGGGGGTTGGCTTAATAGTCCCAAGCAAAGGCTGTCACCTTTGTGTCCCAAGCACCTAACCTGGAGCATGACACACAGTCGCCCCTCCACTAGTCAGAGCAGGAGAGCTTTGGTGCAGAATTCCCAGTGAAACCAGCACTCAGGAGTCTTAGGGACACCCAGAAAGGGAGCAGAGGGGAGACCTGCTGGTCCCCAGGAAAGGAGGAACAGGCCCCGGATGGGAAAGTCTGGAGGCTTTCAGTTTCGAGAAAATGCAGGGCTGGGGAGGAGCAGTGAAAGGTGAGGGATCCAGGGAAAAGGGTGCCTATAAGAATCGCACATGCAGAGGACGCTCGAGGCCAGGTATCCCCAAGAGCTGGCCCGGAAGGAGACATAGAAAGCTCTAGAAGGAGCTCAGAAGCAGTTGCTAGAGGCAGACGGGCACTGGACCAGGGCAGAGGAGAGAGCAGGGGAGGAAGGGGCTGCAGACCCCAGGCAGGGCACTTGTAGGGGAAGGAAATAGATCTCAAAGGTTCTTCCCAAGGAGACATTTACTGCATAAGTATAAAGAGAGGCTTATTTTTCTGTGGCACTGAGGATCAAAAATAGAGCCTCTCGCATGCTAGACATACAAGACCTCTTCAGGGGCATCTGTATGCGTCCACTTCCATTCTGAGAGATTTTATTGGAAAAAGCAGGACAGGGACACGATGTGGAGCCCTGTCGCTGCTTCCCACGTCGCACAGCTGTCCCGCCTGTCGTGTTGGAGCAGCAGTGATTCTGCATGCTCAGCCAGCCTGGGCAAGGTGGTCATGGACGCAGGCAGGCCAGCCCCTGAGGGCCGGTGGGCCTCACCTGTCCCCTGTGCAGCCGACGGGAGCAGCACGGCCACTCAACAGCCTGACTGCTTGGTGCCAGCAGGAAGGGACCTCAGTGAGGCCATGTCCACAGACAGGTGTTCAGCCAGCCTGGAAACCTGGGAGTTTGTCTTGCAGTGCTTTTTTGCTATTTTTTAAATAATTAAGAAATCCTCAATGGTGTTGTGGCCAAAGTCAGAGTGACTCCCCGGAGCCCTAGGGTATGCACATGTAAAGACAATGCCAGTCAGCTTGAGGGCCGCTTGGAGGAAGGCCCTTTGTTCTGGAAGCTGTCAGCCAGCTACCAGTGGGTACAGGAAGCTGACACTGGGGGCTTCAAAAGCTGTTGCTGCAGATGAGCATTGTTTCCCGGAAGTCACTTCCACCCCTCCTAGGGATGAGACAGCTGGGTGCCCCAGCTCTCCTGGCTGTACTGAACACCGCAGCTTCCCGCTGGGAAAGGTCGCCCTACGAAATGGTTTCTTTTTTTTTTTTTTTTTTTGTCTTTTTCCTTTTTATCGGTACCGGGGATCGAACTCACGACTGCCTGCTTGCAAAGCAGGTGCTTATGCCGCTGAGCTAAACCCCCAGCCCCCGCGAAATGGTTTCTGAATAATGTGGTGGGCACTGAGCAAGTCAGAAGTATTTCATCTTCCTTCTTTTTTTTTTTTGTAATTTTTTTTTTTTTTTGGTCTTTTTCCTTTTTATGGGTACCAGGGATCGAACTCACGACTGCCTGCTTGCAAGGCAGGCACTTATGCCACTGAGCTAAATCCCCAGCCCCTTCGTCTTCCTTCTTAAAGGAACAGAAATCAGAGTCCCCTGCAAACCAGAGGCTGATGGTTGCCATCGTCAACTCCGGTCACTGCGCTGAGCACTGGCTGTGATGCCCCCCAGCCTCGTCTCCTGGGGACATCAGAGAGCTGGTCTAGTCTTATAGGCAGCTGGCAGGAGGTGGGTATCTGCTTTACAAAGAGGTGTTGCCTTGGTAGATTTTAGCTCACAGCTTGGATTAGGAATCCTATTTGTATTGGTTGCCATGAGAGAGTTCTGCAAAAATTACCCAGGAGAAACCAAGAAAGCAAGGTGGAATCATTGATCAACATTTATTAAATTTTACCAATTCTGCTACAGTTCCTGGTGCACCCTCAGGCCAACTTGGGAAAATTAGCAGAGGTGTATAGTTCTAAAATCCTTGAAGATATGTCAGCAGACAGTGTTTGGGGAGCCCTGCTAAGAAAGACAGCCGCCGGCTGAGGAATTAGCGGAAGGGCTGGGACACGTGTGTAACCCTGTCCCGGGCTCATGGAGGAAGGAGTGCCCCAGACCACTGCAGAAGTGTCAGAATCACAGCTCCTGGGGGGCCAGGCAAAGCAGTAATAAACAGCAGCCACAGAGAAGGACCCGGGCTGGGACAGAGGCTGTGTCAGATTCACACACACGACTACGTTGCAAATTAGCCCGCACGCCTCTGGGGACAGATGCAGGGGCCATTGAAGACGGAGCGCGAAGGTGCCCCTTTGTGAGCTGCGCAATCAAACAGGCTAATGGGATGCATGATTGCCGGGAAGGGGACGGGAGCCGCAGAGCCGCAGGAATGGCTCTGCATAAATCAGGAGTGGGGCTCTGCCCTGGATGCCTCATTCACTTGTGGTCACATCCTTTCCATCACAGGCGTGGGAAGGTTCAGGGGAGAGAAATTGAATACAGGCGCTTCTGAGAGCAGAGAAACCTGGCCTCGGCCCATCCGCCTGGACGACAGAGGAGTGGGGACTGGCGGGACAGGCAGGCCACGTCCAGGCCACTCCTTGTGGTGGGGGGTGGCAGGAGCAGCTCTGCACCACATGCCCTCGATGGAGCCTCGCTTATAGATCTAAAGGACCTGGCTAGCGTCTGCAGTGCCCAGAGCTGGCCAGGGGCCACCTGGCAGCTGGCTCACGGCGCATGGCGAGTGGCTCGAGGCCAATGGCTTGATCGTGGGCTGAGATGACTAAGCCATGCTCTGTTCAGAGGGTGGCAGAGCCCAAGGGAGCCTGGTGCCAAGGTCACCATTAGCCTCCATCTGGGAGTGTGTCCTTTGTCCCTGTGCCCGAGGGGCCACTTTCTTCCTGTCTGCCTGCAGCCCATCTCCTCTGGCCCTGGCCCCTCACCTCATCCCTCCACACCTCAATGCTGGCTGAGGGGGATGGGAGCTGCCCAGCCCTGAGGCCGAATCCAATCTGCAGCTGCTTGCAGAAAGTGGGCACCCAGCACAGGGGCCTGTGCCCCCCTCAGGGACCCTGAGGGCAGGAACTGGGTGCCAGACACCCGAGGGCAACAAAGGCCCAGGGACCCTGCATGTCCTTGGCGTGAGGGCGGGTGTGACGGCTGTGCAGGGCCTGAGCTGCCCCCACCCCACCTTGCTGCCTGCGGTCCCCGCCCCTCCAGCATCGCTGCTGATGCTCTACGTTCATGGAGTTTGCTGTCAGCTTGTGTTGTGTTTTGTTTTTCTTTAAGATGACTCCTCACTGATGGTGAGCCGCTGCTTTTCCTCTCATCTTCTTTCATCTGCACCTGCACCCAGCTCCCCATGCCCCGTCCCGTCCCTGCCCTGGCCAAGGCCCAGGAGCCCTGGCTGCCCCCCTCTCCCTCCTCATGCTGTCCTGCCCTCAGCCTTCCTGGCCTCAGCCTTCCTGGGTCCGGGCTGCACTGATCCCTGCAACCTTGGGCTCGGGAGCCCCGTGTTGACACAGGAGGCCTCGGTCTGCCTCCCCAGAGGCTCCTGCAGCTCCCCGCTCCGGTGCCCTCAGCCCTTCCTTGTCCTGGCTGTGGGTCTTCCACCTCCCATTGGTGCCTGGGCTTCCTAAGTGAACTGCGTCCCTGTGCAGCCCTAGAGCCTGCAGAGCCTGCACTCTGGCATCCTGAGGCCTGAGGGTTCAGGCTGAAGCTGCCTGAGCACCCCATTTCCCCTGTTGGATGGCCATTTCGGTGGCTGTGCTCCCCAGGACCCCGTAGCCCACACGGGAGAGTACAGGCAGGCGGCAGGTGGTATCTGGAGTGTGGTGCTGGAAAGGTGCACCCTGTGCTCCGTGCTGACATTGGGTGTGCTGACTTCCACTCCCTTAGGAGAGAGACTCAGGCTGCCCGGGGCCAGCAGCCCAGGCGGGCCATACACGCCTGCTGTACACAGCCCAGCATGTGACACCCAGGTCCTTCCATGTGGCAGTGGGTGGAGGCCACCAACCCAGCATGGGGCAGTGCCACCAGCTTCTGGAGAAGCCACGAGAGCTTGCAGCCTCCCTTCCCAGCCCAGGCTGCTTCTGATTTTATTTTCCTTGCAGCCTTGAGTAGGAGAAATGGGGGTGAAAGTTTGGGCCTTGAGTGCAGTGGGAAGGGACAGAGCCGTGGTCAGGATGAAGTGCTGGGGGTGAGGAGGACAGGAGCGGCTCGGGAGGGGGTAGGAGAGGAGGGCCCGGACCAGCACTGTTTCGTTGTCTCCATGGGTGGTGGGGACAGAGTGCCACTGGACTGGATTGTCTTGAAAGAGATGGGCCGTTTGTTGCTAGGAGAGGCTCTAGATGAGGTGGAGGTGATCCAGAGCCCTCTCTGCCACCTGGGCTGGGGACAAGAGATGGGGACAGAGGGTCCCCTGCCGGAGGCTCCCCTGGCTGCTGCAGAAGCTTCAAGCGAGCAAGGCTGATGGGGACGCTGTGCAGAGGCCCCTGCCGGCCCAGGGCAGAGCTCCTGGCCTGGGTGGGTTTCTGACCACCAGCAAAGGCCCTGCTGTCTGACCTGCTGGGGACCAGGAAGGGAGATGCACTGGCAGAAAGGGAGCGGAGGAGGAAGGGGCAGGAGCGGGGCAGCTGCATCCGAGGGACACCACCAGGGCCCGCCCTTGAGGAAAATCTGCTCATTCTAGGAGAAAACAGCTGCTGCCCAGATGCAAGGGACAGGCTAGGAAAACACAGCCCATCCCCATAGTAGAGCTTGAAATGTGAAATTTGAAATAGTGGTCAATAAATGAATTGAAACAGGAAGGTGGAAAAAAATAGTGAAGCGGGAAGGTAAGCGCGGAATTTATATTTTCAGCATAATTCCAGCGCAGTCTGCAGGAGGAGGATGTGCGTGTGCTGCCGAGTGTGCAGCTGCCCGGGGGACAGTGCCGCTGGCTCCTTCCCGCCCCCCTGCCCCGGCACCCTAACAGGCTCCCCCCAGAACAGACCCACAACGGAGCAAGTCTGGGAGGACCAGTGTGTGTCCTGTTATGGGGCTCAGTGGCCCAAGGGCATGGCTGTCACACGCAGGCCACAGACCCGCCAGCCAGCCTTCCAGGCCCATCGAGCCAGCCCCAGCATTTGCACCCAGGACCAAGGACGGCGTGGAAGGGTCCCCAGGGCCTTTCCCACCCTTGTCTGCGGGGGTGCTCTGCTCCAGTCACTGCTTCCTGGGATGCTTTCCACACGTGTGTCCTCCTTCCAGGTCATGTTAGAGACCCCTGCGTGCCTCTTCCAGGCCCAGCTCCCCAGGCGCTGTGAGCTGCAGCCTGTGCCCCCTGTCGTGCGGCCCCAAAACAGCTGCGGACAGACATGTGTTAGGCCGTGATATAGATAGTGTCTCATCGCGACCTAAATGCAGTTACTTCTATAAGCAAGTGAACGTAAGATGGCAGATGAGGGCTGGCAGGAGTGTTGGATGACGTGGCTGGACAAATACATTTTAAGGAGCTTATGGCTTCTTAAAATCTGATACTCTGGACAAGGTTTATCCCTGGGAGCTTAGCCAGGGAATCCTGAAAGTGTTTTTGTAACTCTAGAAAAATTCCAGCTATGTACATGTAAAAACTTTGTGTCACTTCTGTGCTCTACACTGAGACATCCGACTCAGGCCAGGGTCCCCAGGGTGCCGCCTCACCCCGCCTGCACCCACACCAGGCCACAGGTGCGCACAGGTGCCGAGTCCAGGGCAGCGCCCTTCTGTGCAGCGCTGACCCAGGGCGGGTTCCTGGCTGGCCTAGGCTTTTCCTGTGTCCCAGGCTGGCCCACTCCGCGTGAGGCAGGAGTCCCGTCCCAGCCCTGCAGCTGGGGAAAGTGAGGGCCCTCACCGGAGTCCTGCCTGCCAGCTGCCTCCTGGGCAGCTGATGGCGGTGGAATCCCGTCCTGTCCCCTTCACTCACCCTTCCAGCCGTCTTCAGCGCTCACCCCTTTTTTACCCTGGGAAAAGTTGGTGGATTGGAACAGAGCCATGGGATAGAATTCACTCAGATGGAGCACTCCAGCAGGACTCCACGCAGAGAGCAGCTCGGTGGCGCCTGACCTTTCACAGCGCCAGGGAGGGCAGTCTTCCAGCTGTGCCAGGCTTGGGGGAGGGGCAGCGGGGGCCCCAGCTGGCCCGTCCCTCACCCTCTTCTCTCCTCTCTCCCAGGTGTTCCACTGTGTCCACTTTGAGTGTCCAGAGCAACAGAGCATCCAGAAGGAGGAAAGCAGCGAGGAGCCGGGGCCGGGAGATGGCAGTGCGGCCACTCAGCAGCTGGACCTCCATGCCCTGCGGGCCGCAGGCGCCGGCTCGCTGCCCCCCAGCCCCAGCCCCAGCCCCAGCGCACGCTCACCCAACCGGCAGCACCAATAAAGGAGGCAGCGGAAGGGTCTGTCCTTAACTTTCCTCATTGCTGAGACACCCAGGTTAGAGGGGGAAGGGTTGTTTTCTGTAGCGCACAGTGTGTGTGGGTTTCAGTCTGCAGTCTGCTGGCTCCCAGCAGGGCAGCACTGCAGAGGAGCAGTCCATGGTGGGCAGAGGGCAGCGCAGTGCAGGAGTGGGGCACCACCAAGGACAGCAGCCCGCTTCTGTCCCTCAGGCCCATCCAGGCTACGTGTGCACACCCTGCTCCGTGCCAGGTCCTCCATCCCAGCGCCACACCCTAGATCCAGCCAGCTCAAAAAAGCCCACCTATGACCGCTGGAGGCAGGGTGCCATCCAGACACATGCCCTAATGGTGTGACCTGGTGGCACAGAAGGGGACAGGAATGTGTCCTCCCTGGCCCTGCCCCCTTCTGGGAGCAGATCTGACCACAGAGATGACACTGAGCAGGTTTCTCCCAGGACATCGGGAGGCCGAATGGCTACTCAGTTTGGCCTGATCGGTGTCTCCAGGGAAGAGGCGGCTCTCCAGGCTTCTTCAAGGCCCTGGGGAAGCCCTGCTTCTCCCATCCCCCCAGGTGAGGTCAGAGGGAAGTCCTGGTGTAGAAACCGTGGGGGAGGGGACACTTAGGCCTTTACTCCCTGGAGGCACCCGGCGGAGATGGAGCACGTTGCCCTGGCAACCGAGTGATTCTTATGTTTCTTGTAGTTGTCCTGCACTTGCTGAATCGTGGGTGTTCCAGATCTTTCTAGGCAGGCCAGCAGCAAACTGCTTGTCCTGATCCCTTCTGAGAGTGGTGTTTCTTTCCTTTCTTGGGCCGACCAAGTTCGGGGCAGCGCAGACGCAGACACGTCCACGCAGGGACCCATTCCTAGGAGGTGTGGGGGACACCTGCATGCGGGCTCAGCGCAGACTGCTGAATTATTAACCTGCTGTTGGATTCTCACCCGCCCTGTGTTCAGCAGGCTGACGGGGAAGGCTGACACTGTCCAGCCACTACTGTTAACTCCTACTCAGAGCCGCGCCTCGGCCCTGCCCTGCATTTCTGGCTGGTGCAGCAGGTGACAGCCCCGGGTCACCTCAGGAACCCACCGTGTGCTGGCTGTGGTGCTGAAAGCACTGCTCCGAGAAGCTTCCCCAGCCCTGGGAGCGACCCCTGGCCACACTGGCTCCAGCTGGCCCTCTGTTGTTGCCAGTGACTTCCCGGCCGTGCTGTCCCCAGGGTGTCCCGCTGCGTAGAGGCGGCACAGGATCCAGTCCTACCCCAGGGTGAACGCTTGGGGGCTGCTGTCTGCTGTCTGTCCTGTCTGGGACGGACAGGTCTCCCCAGGAGTACTGGTGACCGCACAGCACAGCCACAGGCGGCAGAGGTCACAGGGTGGGGGAGGGCCCAGTCACAGTTCTCACGGAGCGGGCCTGGATGTGGGTGTGGGAGGCACCTCGTGTCAGGCAGGCTGATGTCCGCCTGTCAGCACCCAGCTCCTGGTGCTGGGCAGCAGGGAGCCAGTCCCATGGAGGGCGCAGTGACCTCAACATGGGCCAGTGACCTCAACGAGTGGGCTATGGGGACATGGCTACTCTGCATCACTGGGGAGCTCCAAATTGTACCCAAAAGCACCCCGACCCACAGGTGTGGCTCCACCTGTCCCCACCCCCACCCCGTAGCCAACTGAGGAGAAGACGGGCGCAGCACGCTGAGGGGGGCTCTCATTCTCTGCACTTGGCTGTGTGGACACTAGGGATCCTGGCTTGAATAGACGCCCACCCAGACCCAGAAGCACGAAGCCTAGAGCTCTGCCTCCATGGGCTGTTCAGAGCAGGGGGCCTTCCCCGATCCCCCGGGCCCGGGGGCCATATGTCCCTGGGATGCACAGCGGCCATCGCAGGAGTTCCACAGCCACGTGTCCTCCAGAGCCTGGCAGGAGGGTCCTCCTTGGTGCCCGCCACACCAGTTTGGGCCACAGACTCGATGCCAAGCGCGAGCCCTGCTGAGTCAGAGCTGGGACAGGGGAGGCCGCTGTCAATGCAGCCCCTCCAGGCATCGAGCAGGTGACTGGGGCCGTGGCCCGCCCTCCTGGGACCCCTCCAGTCCCGACTGCAGGTGGCCTCCACCTGCCTTGAGGCTGGAACCTCCTCCCTTGATTGTATTTGGGGGTGGGGGTGGAAAGGATTCTTGAGTCACAGTGCGGCTGCCCTGGACGGCAGGTGGGGTCCGAGGGGCGCTGGGCCTGGCACAGCCATAAACCTCCAGGTCCATCTGCGCGCTGCTTTTCCCGCTGGTCTGATTTTAGTTAGAACGCGTCTGTGATGGATGTGGGACTCTTCTCAATTGCTCTTTAAATTGTCACTTTTTAAATCTTATTAAATGAAGTGTCGATTCCTGACAAATACATTAAAAGTGTTTTATTTCTAGAAGAGTTAGGAAAAGAAATCATTTGCAGCAAGTGTGTGTGATGTGTTTGTTAGACAGGCTCCTTGGCCAGGAAAAAAACGGTTTTGAATTGTGCAAAAAATTGCCCAGTAGTCACGCTGGTTGTCAGACTGCTGTGCACACAGTGTTGACCTGGTCCCCTCACCTGCTCTTTAAGAGGTAACAGAATTGCAACCCCTTAGCCTTTCCGAGCAGGAGCCTCGGGGAGGAAGGTGGATCCACGGCAGAAGCGGGTGCTGCTCCCACACGCCCACTGCAGCGTCATGGAGGGCTCCTCGGCCGGGGGCGGGGATCGGAGACGAAAGTACCCGCCTCTTTCTGGGAGGCTTCCCGCACTGTGGTTGCGCTCCCATGTTGTTGCTGTGGTCATCTCCCTGCCTGTGGCCTGGTGGCAGGTAGTGGTCACCACAGTTCGGTGTGGCAGGCGTGGGCTGGCGCCGTTCGTCTGTGTGGCTGCAGCCATGGATCCTGCGCGGTTATCCTGGCAGCAGCCTCAGCAGGAGCTCGGGCTCACCCGGGGCCCTGGGCAGTGAATGTGCCGTTCATGGCTCTGACCCACAGCGGGTCTATCATTATATTAAATTAGAAGGCTTCCTGGTGCCTGGTGTTTGCTCAGGAGTTTCTGGACGGAGAGGTCTGCGTGGGCTGCGGGCCCCTGGCATGTGTGGAGTCTGCGATGTGCTCGTGGTTCACCCGTCGGGGAGCTCGGAGGCTGTGGCCTTGGCATGCCGTTCTCACCGCACCTGCAGCGCCGTCTGAAGGTCACCACGTCTCCCCACTTCCTCACTTCCTGGGTGGCACAGGGTGCAGCCTGGCAGTGGGGAGGTGACTCCGCCTGGCCCTGGCCACCACACCCCTCAGGCCAAATCAGGCTTATTTCTTTGTTTTAAAAGAACTAAACTGTTCCCCCAGAGGCCTGGAGACTCGCAGTCCTCCACCCATGCCATTTGCATCCCAGAGTATTTATAGCCTGAGCAGGGAAGGAGCCGGAGGCGGCCCGGGAGCCACGCCTGTCCCCTCACTAGGCAAGGGCCCAGCCTCCCACAGGGCTGTCACGGGCACCACCCACTCCCGACTCTGCACCCTCCGAGCTGATGGGTCCTACAGTGTCTGGTGCTGTCCCAGAAGCAGCCGTCCATCCGCACGCCATCCATTGAGGCTTCTTTTTCTGCAGTGTCTCTGGGACTGTTGCTGACAATCCATACACTCGAGTATTGGGCTTTCCACTCTGCTACCCTGGGCCGTGTATGTTTTTATGCTCGTGCCTACCATTTGCTTACTACGGGTTTGTGATACGTTTTGAGGTCAGGGAGTGGGATGCCTCCAGCTTTGTCCTGTCTGCTCAAGACTGCTTCGTGTGTCTGGAGCCTTTTGTGGGTCCACGTGAATTTGGGGTATTTTTCCGAGCCTGCAAAGTGGCAGTGTTTGATAGGAATTGCATCGATACCCAGCACCTTTCAGTTTGCACATGAGGGAAGAGCTGTTCCCTTGACAGCTGGTGTCTGAATGTGCCCTGCGCCCACACTCCCCGGGAGGCGCGTCCCTTCACTCACTGGAGGGGTCTGAGATGCAAACGCTGTCTGGAGCAAGACAGCGCGCAGCACTGACTCAGCACCGAAGGGCGGCAACTCCCCTCCTCAGTGCCGCTGCACGCACGCAGATGCACGCAGATCTACGGGCTGGCCATGGGCAGGCGCTGGCCAGCAGCCTCGGAGAGAAGCCCTCGGCCTCCCGCCTCCCAAAGTGCCCCTTCCACCTGTTTTTTCTGAAGCACTTGATTTTTTCAATCATTACCACCATGTTTCACAGCAGTTAAAGTAAATGAGCTCCGTGTTCTCTTCCAGGAAGACCAGACGCTGCCCTCCCTGCCCACTCACTGCCGCCCCGGAGTCTGAGCTCGAGCTCCCTGCAGGAGGCTCGCACAGCTTGCTCCATCCCGGGTCAGCGGTCCTCCAGCGGAGGGTACCACAGCAGCCCTGAGTCACGCAGGGCTAGTGCTACCTCCTCCTCCTCCTGCTGGCTTTTACAAGTTGCCTGCTTTTATCTGCTTCATCAGAGTGCTCCCCGTTCACATCTGACACTTTCAGGCTCATGGGACCTTCTACCAGGCCGGGTGGCCCGGGCCTCTGTGCCCTCCCCAGGTCCGGGATGGATGGCTACAGAGCAGGTGCTGTCCTAGGATTCTTCTGGGTATTTCTGTTGCATCCATCTGGGGTCCTCCTGCTCGGGGAACAGCTTCTGTGCGCCGCCATGGTGAGGACCTTGCCAAGCCCCCAGGAAGGCGCCCAGCTTTTGCTCTTGGCAGTCTGCTCGCTCACCTCCACCATTCCCTTTCAGTTTAAGGATCCTGAACCATCCTCATGCAAACGGGGGTACATACCTTAGCCCTGCCACATGTTTCTTTTTTTGGTACCAGGGATTAAACTCACACCTGCATGCTTGCAAGGCAGGCACTTATGCCACTAAGTCCCCAACCCCTGCCAAATGTTTCTTAAACTTCTCAAAACAGCACACCCTGTGTGCCAGAGGTCACAGGCCACACACAGCCCTCCCTCCCTCCAGTGGTGTGACTGTCACCTCCCACGGGCCTGCTGGGCAGGACTGAGACGCCAGACCCAAAGCCCCTCTGGGACCCAGGCACCCCAGACCAGCACCGGGGGCCCCTCAGACTGCTGCCCCATCTTCCACTTTTACCTGGAGCTCCCGAGGCAGAACCACCGAGCAGACACCAGGGCAGCGGCTGCACGGCCGACAGTCACCCCAGGAACACTGAGGACTCAGCGCCAGAGCCCCCTCTCTTCCGGCCCTGGCCAGGGACACATTTCACCGGCTTTTTGGCCATTTAAGGAGCACCACGGGAACCGGCGAAACAGAGAAATCCAAACATTCATACGATTGGTTTAATTTTTTTTTCAGCAGGAGAAAAAAGAATAAAGTTACAAGATTCTTTTAATATTTTCACAATGTTAAAACTAAAACTGAGCTCTAGGCTATGTGTGTAAGTAAATCTAGAACACAAAAGGGTTAAATAAGATTTTCTCTTTAAAGATACAAGAATTTAAGCTTTCCTTACATTTAACAAACTCCACAGAACAGATACTGTAGGGGAACGAGCCCTTCCTCCCTCCACCCGGCTCTGCCAGCAGGAAGTGGACGGGGGCTGCAGTCCCTGCATGCGCCACCTCCACACAGCAGCTGGGGCCTCAAGAAGCCGGGAAGGGCACACACGTGCCACCTCTTCGGGTTCGAGCTTGGCGGGGGCGGGGGCGGAGGCAGGCGCCTCGCTGAGGATGGCCGGGAGGCCAGAGGGCCGTGGCTTGGCAGCAGTGGTAAACGCTGGACAGACCCGGCTCCCTGCCCTGGGGCTGCCCCAGAGCAAGATGCCCGTCTGGGTCCTGAAGCAAGAATTAAGGCTGGAGATTCTGCAGTGGGTTCCACTCTGGTGGGGTGGAGGGTGTGGCGGAGGAGGAGGTTGGGAAGAGCATGATTTCCTATTTCGGATCAAAACCATTTGTGGGTGCAGGTGTGGTTAATGTGCAGAGATGAAGTGTGTTTTGTACAAAGGGAAGTTGCTGGGTTCAACTAGTCAGTCAGCAGCCTGGTGTGGGCCAAGCTACCAAGCTGTGCGGGAGCCGCCTGCCGCAGGCTCTCACGGGCGTCCTTCCTGTCTACCCAGCCCGCCCTCAGCTGGTGGGCAACCAGGCCCATGGCCGGCCCTCTCCCCTCTGGCCCAGGCTACTGCAGCTCACCGTACACAGGCTGGGCACTGCCCTCCCGCCCCCCCCCCCCAGCGGCGCAGGACACTGTCGGGAGGCCCAGGCCCACAGTGCTCGAGGCACAATGCCTTCCCTTCCCAACGTGCCATGTGGCAGAGGTGGACTGGTCATCCCTGGACTCTGGGACTGCATAGAAACGAGAGTGGAGGCCACAGTGCCACCCTCCAGGCCCCCGCCATGAGGGCAGAGCCTGTTCGGGCTGCAGCAGCGTCCCCTGATGCCTGGTGACTACGAAACGTCTTTTGTTTAAAGGAAAAAAATAAAAACAACTCCCCGAGTAGAAACCGGGCTGCAAAAGGCGCTGTGCTGCCAGGAGCCTCACTGGACCGACGGCCAGGTCCCTGCGCTTGGCAGCCATGGCCACTGGGTCAGACACCGGGGCTGCTCCCGTGACCTCGGATCTTGCATGGAAGGCAGGTCTCGTGCGTGGACTAGTCTTGAATGGAGCTAACTTTTGAAAGTGAGGTTACTGTTTCGCTTGTAGGATGAGTTTTTCATAACAAGTCAGGTAAAAAAAAATTTCCGTAAGAATCTGCCCCACCCCCCACTCCCGACTCTGCAGAGAACAAGGCCGCGCCCAGCCCGGCCCCACACCCGTCAGCAGCCGCCCATGGCCAAGGCACGGTGGCCGTCAGGGTCCTGGCTACTGGGACCAAGGTGAGTGAAGAGGTGAAAGGCCGAACATTAAACAGAGTTTCTGGCAAAGCCATGTGCGTCGTGGAAACTTTAACCCCAGCTTCTACTGCTCTAAGTAACTCAGAGTCTCCATCTGGAACGCTTTCCGCTTAAGGCTTTTTGTAAGTTTGACTCCAGCAGTGACAGGTATGTGTTGTTTTAAATCCACTAGCCATGCTCAAAAAAAATATTCTTCATGTTTTAATTTTATACAATGGCTAGCAGGCACCTTAGTAACCAGCCAGAAATCAATTTCAACCACCATCAACCCCTAAACTACAGTACCAGGATGGCTGGCTAAAGAAAGGAAATGGGCTGGCTGTAGTCTGACGCGTGCCCAGTACAAGGTGTCTGGCTGACTTTGTCCTAAATAAGGCTAACATTAGTGAACTAAGAACAGCGTCATGTGATGGCCACGCCTGGCCTTCAGGAGCACCCCTCCCCGATGCGCTGGCAGGAGCGCCCCACTTTGCGGTCCAGTTTCACCATTTTCATGATGGCTTCCTCTCGGCCGCGGCCCATGTGGTCGAACGTACAGTCGTGCTGCTCGGGGAGGCGGTGTAACATACAGAACACGTAACCTGCGGCAGAGAGGCAGAGGCAGAGGACACGCGGTTAGGGCGCGCCCGCGTGGAGGGTGGGTGTCAGTCCCCGCAGTCCTCCAGCAGCTGAAGGGTTTATGTGACAGACTGTGGCGTCCTCAGAGGCTCCTGCCCAGGCCCAAGCTGACCACAGCAGCAAGACCAAGCCTGTGCCTTGGAGGGGCTCTGGACCCCCAGCCAAGCCGCCACGAAGCAGAGAGGCAGAGGGGCCCAGCGCTGCCGGCTCAGCACTCTACCTGGTTCCGCAAACTGTAGTACCCACCTCAGGACACCTGCCATTCCTAGGAGGCAGGGAGAGAGGAGAAATGACCGCGGCTTAAATTACGTTCTACCTCCTGCGGAACTCCGGGCTCCGGGCAGAGGCTGGGGGACTGAATGGGGGCTCTGGAAATAAAATGGATGCCTTCAAGTCCTGGAAAAGTAGTATCAGAGATGCTGAGCTGAGCTAACTGCCATCAGGAACCCACGCTCCAAGTCCCCCTGGGAGGCGGGCAGTCGAGGTCCCATTAGCCCTGCCCTCCCACACCTGGAGGCAGCTTCAGGTCTTCTCGTTGGAGGACAGAAGTCCAAGGGAGACAATGGCCAGATGAGCAGAATCAAAGTCCGAGGAGAGGCCACAGAGCAGGGAGAAGATGGTACAGCGGAGAGGAGCAGCTTGGGTCGGGAGGAGGCTCGGGGAAGGCAGGCTGCATGGAAGAGCAGCCCTTCTCCCGACCTGGCTCCCTGCTTCATTTAGAAGGCTGCTGTGCGTGTGGGGGAGAGGGCCTGCAGGCTCTGTAGGGGGGGGAGAGACACCTGCCTGGCTGCTGTCTCTCACCTATGCCATTCTCCTGCCTGGACAGACACCCCTCCACCCCAGGGGCCCAGGCCAGGTCCTCAGGAGCAAGCTGCCAAGTGCCAAGTGGCTTCCTAACCCTGCTCTCCCTGTGTGCCCACAGGAGCCCCCACCCCTCCTCTTTGCTCACTCCAGGCCAATGTCCTCTTGCACAAGCTGCCACCTTTTAGGACCAGAAAACAGTGGCTACCCCTTGCAAACTGACTCATCCACTCTGCAGCCTCAAATTCATTTTGTTTTCAGAGTGGAGGCTGAATTCAGAGGAATAGGAGAAGCTGAAGAAAAGGCTGAGTGGTAGGATGGCTGACAGTTTCAACAGTGTGAGATCCAGTGGCCATGACTTTTCCACCAGCTTCATCTGGCCAGAATTCCTCAGCCTGGGGGAGGCCGCACTTGCATCCTATGCAAAAGCGTTGGGGTCAGGCTTGGCGGGGCACAGGAGACACAGAGAGCAGGGCAACATGCTTGATTCCGAAGTGGGCCTGGGTTTACAGAGAAGAATGCCAGCCTCCCACATGGCCCACAACAAAGTTAAAGATTAGTGAGCTCATGTGTTCCAGTGACTGTTGAGTTCACTGCTCGCAGATACTGGACACCAGCTGTCTTCCTCCTAAAGGGTTCACAGTGGAAGCGTGCAGAGCCCAATTATGTCTCTTTTTGTTGAGCCAGCAAGATCAACTTTCAGAGCACACAGCACCGGAGCAGGCCTGCAGATGTTTCTGACACTGAACCCTGACGTTCCTGTACCTGCAGAATCTGCAGTAAGGGGCTGAAGACCCCTGCCACCCCTCTCCTGCAATGCCAGGATGATTCAGGAGAAGGTGCTGGGGTTCTTCTCTCGCAGTGAATGGTGCTGGCTGAATTAACCCCAGGCCTGGCTCAGCTTAACACTGCTGAAGGCAGATCACAGTAGGGGCGCCAATCTGGTCCTCCCCCACCCCCACCGCCCACTCAGGCTGCCTTTCAGCACCTACTGAGTAGCCAACTCTGGAAAAGAAATGGAGTGACAACCCAGCAACTGCCCTCCAAGCCCTCTCTATCCAGCCACGGACTCTGCATCTGGCCCAAAGTCTCCTGTCTACACTTATCTTCCAAGTTCTGTGTACCTGTTAGTCTTGCCTTTCCTTTCTGAACCGTGAAAACATTTGGGGAGCAGCACTGGTAACAATGGAAATTTATTGGCACTGTAATTCGCTGGGGAAGCATCTCGGAGGAATTGTGGAAGGCTGACTTCCCAGGTTACGGCACTGAGGTTATTAGATGGTATAAATTAAGCCCAATTCCCTCTCCTGTCAGCATCTCTCACTAAGCGGAAGTTACATGCTGGAACTTGCCCCGAACACTGACTAGCTGTTATCCACTGATGGCGGCCAATGGCTGAATGTACTTTGGCATCAACAGCAGGGAGGTCGCCTCAGACACAGCACGGCCAGCAGACGTGGGTGGGAATGACTGGTGGGTGGCATGCATCTTTATCCTTTTTTCTTCCTATATGAAGATTTGCTCCAGAGCCACTGCAAATGCGTGAGCTCTGCATGGCTCCCTAGAGAATTTAGGAGACACCTACACATGGAGAGAGTGGAGTCCAGACCACAAAGTGTGTGTGTGTGTGTGTGTGTGTGTGTGTGTGTGTGTGTGTGACAGAGACAGAGAGACTGCTCTTGATTTCAAAGATAGATGCATCTCAGGGCACAGAGGTTTATAGCCTTGTCTTGGCCAGGCAGCCTCAGCATCCTATCTGGACACTTCATTAGAACCAACTGGGTTTCTTTCCAGAGAGGGTGGAAGAAGGGTGTCCAGAATCATGCAACTCTTTTTCCTTCATGATTTAAAAAATTTCTATATGAGAACTAAAACTGACTCTTAGAGCCCATCTCTACCCTCCCCCACTGTTCCCAAAATTCTACACCCAGTTTCACAGTACTTTTTGTTTACCACAGCAGCACAGTGCTCTGCAGGGGTGGGGCTGGGAGCCTCATTTAAATGATGCTCACCCACTAAACAGCCAGGCAAATGACTTTGAACACATGATCTGTCTGCTGAATGTGGTTTAACCTCAGCCCGTCTCAGTGGATTTCCATGAACACTGACCCAAGAGAAGCTATAGAGCTCCTCTCAGGCCGTCTGAGCGGTTTTCAGTAAATCTGCACAAAATGCTCAAGAACCTGCACAGGTCTCGCTGGCTGGACTGGAGAGCGACTGAGGCCAGTCCAGGAGAGGGAGGGAGGGAGGCAGCGGCTCTCCACGCACTCTGGGCTGCGGCCTCACCGCCCAGCAGGCTGGACCGCAGCTTTTCTCTGCTGCCACTGTTCTGGCTTCCGCCTGGCATGGCATGAGGGACAGCAGCACTAGAAAGGAGGCCTGATCACACCTCCGTCGGGGCAAGGAGGTCCCCAGAGGAACCCCACAGCTCTCTTCAGTGTTAGAAAGCAGCATTAGGGGCAGAGCATGAAGAGGGAACAGGAGCTTCCTTGACAGCCACCCCAGACAGAAACATCAGTCTGCAGCTCACATGAGTCGAGTCACTTGCGTTAATCTAGCACACGTGGACACTGCCCTGCTCCACCTTAGCACATGGACATGAGATGCCCAAAAGGAAAAGGCCTTAACATACAGGACCCGCAGAACACAGCCTCATTCTTCCAAGACTCCTAAACATGCAGATTTCTCAAAACGCTCATTTCATGGAACCAACTTCTGACCTCATCCTGCAGTTTCTAAAGCTAACCCTGAGGGACTCGACCCCAGCCCAGCCTCACTATCACTCACACAAGGTAGGGGGAGGGCTTTGTGACTAAACCCGCAGTAGGCAATGAGGGAGCCATCACTCAGCTAAAATGCCTCACCCCCAGCTCCGCGCCTTGATTTGTGCTGCGGAAGCTGTGAACTACCTCCTCCACGCCTGTGTGTCCCAGGAGTCGCCTGCCCCAGTGCTGAAGAGGGTCTGTGCTGTGCCAGTCCCCTCCTGTCCTTTCCCCCATGCCACAGGAACGGCCCTTGCCTGGCAAGAGCCCACCATGTGGGCCATCCAGGGGGGGGTTCCTACCCTTGGTGGGGCCTCTGACCCCCAACACCAGCATTTCCTTTCCCACCTTAAGAATTGAACAGGAGTTGCAAACATCCTCTATCATGGACTACCTGAGCAAGACAAAGCGATACCAAAGTTTGAGCCCTTGACATTTTTATTTAATCCCTGTCTGACACAAATGATTGCTGGTTTTATCTTGGACTAAAAGGAACCATTTAAAGTTGCAAAGCTGGGAAGCTCTAGACACTTCAAGACTTTAATAAAACACTTTCTTGCAGACTCACCCACCTGCAGCAGCCTCCTCCAAGTATCTGTTTTCTTGAAGCCAAGACCAGGGTGGGCCTCACTCCAGCTGCACTGTAATTTCACGATGCTTGCAAGAAATGCCTTACACTGTCTTGCTCATCTGAATTTTAAATTCTCAAAGGTTCAAGCAGAACCCTCCAACTACTGATAGAATACTCACAGAGACCCAGGCACTGTACAATGCTCTGCCAGTGTGCAGTGGGGTGGTGGTGCATACACACTCTGAGCTGGGTGCCTGCTTACAGGCCCCTGGTGCCCTGCCTGGCACAGCGTGGGGATGAGTCCACTCACGATGCCCGGTTCCAAGGTAAGGCAGACGCAGATGGCCACCAACAAAAAGAAGCTCCCAGGACTCCCAAAGCTTCCTGTGAGCCACTTCCACATTTCAACTTATTCGCAGGTACCACTTGCCCTCTACAAAAGAAACAAGTATGCTAGCCTGTGTGTCTGAAGCGACCAGGAAAGCTCTTCCACGGGAGTCAAGTTCTCCCAGCAAGGCGACAGTGGAATGCCCAGGACAGCTCGCTGACCTACAGCTCGTTTGTTAGGACACACTGGAAACAGCAGGTGGCTACAGGAAGCCTGTTTGAATGCTTTAGCTGCTTACAATCCCTGGGCTGCACCATCTCCGCTAACCCAATGCCCAAAGCAGAATCTCTAACACAGAAATGTATTAAAGGATCTCAATGTGTTTTACTTCAACAGGCCCATGGTTCAAGCAAAGCAGCTGCAGGTGTTTGAGGAATGTGTCTGCTTTACATTCTCCTCCATCCCTACAGGCTTTGCATGTAGAAAGAAAATCATCACACT